CCCCCTGCATTGGCAGGCAGATTCTCTACCATTGACCTGCCAGGGAAGCTCTTTAGTTCACTATTATACTAAGAAGTTACCCCTAAGTATCCTAGCTTATTTAAAATCCTATTTAAAACCCTAAAAGATGATCCTGTTAAAATCGTACACTCAATATGTCAGCATATTTGGAACAGTCAACAGTGGCCATAGGACTGGAAAAGGTCAGTTTTTATTCCAATCCCAAAGAAGGGCAATGCTCAAACTAGTGTACAATTGCTCTCATTTCACATGCTAGCAAGGTTATGCTCAAAGTCCTTCAAGCTAGGCTTCAGCAGTTCATGAACCAAGATAACTTCCAGGTGTGCAAACTGGCTTTTAAGAGGCAGAGGCACAAAGATCGAATTGCTAAGGGAGGGAATTCCAGAAAAACATCTACTTCTACTTCATTGATCATGTGAAAGTCTTTGGCTGTGTGGATCACAACAAACTGTGGAAAATTCTTCAAGAGATGGGAATACCAGATCACCTTACCTGTTTCCTGAGAAATCTGTATGTGAGTCAAGAATCAACAGTTAGAAGCGGACATGGAACAACTGACTGGTTCAGAATTGGGAAAGGAGTACTGTATGTTGTCACTCTGCTTATTTAACTTCTGTGCAGAGTATATTATGCAAAATGCCAGGTTGGGTGAATCACAAGCTGGAATCAAGACTGCTGGGAGATAATCAACAACCTCAGATATGCAAATGATACCACTATAATGGCAGAAAGTGAAGAGGAACTAAAGAGCCTCTTGATGAGGGTGAGAGAGGAGAGTGAAAAAGCTGGCTTAAAACTCAACATTAAAAAAACTAAGATCATGGCATCCAGTCCCATCATTTCATGGCAAATAGATGGGGAAAAAAGTGGAAGTTGTGGTAGATTTTATCTTCCTAGGCTGCAGAGAAACTGCAGATGGTGAAGATAGTCATGAAATTAGAAGATAGTTGCTCCTTACAAGGAAAGCTGTGACAAACCTAGACTGTGTATTAAAAAGCAGAGACATCACTTTGCTCACAGTTTGTAGAGTCAAACCTATGGTTTTTCCAGTAGTCATATATGGATGTGAGAGTTGGACCATAAAGAAGGCTGAGTGCCAAAGAATTGATGTTTTCCAATTGCGGTGCTGGAGAAGTCTCTTGAGAGTCCCTTGAACTGCAAAGAGATCAAACCAGTGAATCCTAAAGGAAGTTAACCCTGAATATTCATTGGAAGGACTGATGCTGAAGCTCCAATATTTTGGCCACCAATGTGAAGAGCCAACTCAGAAAAAACCCTGCTGCTGGGAAAGACTGAAGGCAAAAGGAGAAGGGGGTGGCGGAGGATGAGATGGTTAGATAGCATCACTGACTCCATGCACAATGAATTTGAGCAATCTCCAGGAGACAGTAGGGTACAGGGGAGACTGGCATGCTGCAGTCCATGAGGTCACAAAGAATCGGACAGGACTTAGCAGCTGAACAACAATCATAACTTAAGCCTCAGTAATCAGGGTCTCTTGGACACATTTAAAGTTTTTGAGTTTTGAGTAGTCAGTTCTAGCTATTTGTAAAAATTAATATTTCCTGAGTTTTATTCTTTCTTAGAGATTTTCTAAAGAACAAAAGAAAAAAAAATTGAAACATGGAATAAAATTCATTCTTTTGCAACTACTATATGAATTCACTGGACTTTTGTATAAAATGTCTTAATTTACCTTGGTGATCTTATTTTTAGTAATATGTAAAATTATTTTTTTTTCTAAAATAATCTAGTATCCTTACTGATTTTATTTTTCCTCTTGAAATATTTTGCTATAGGATTTCTTTGCTTGAAAAGGCTGAATCTTTGATGCCAATTCATTTTTACCTTTGATAGTTTAGTAACCACTGTCTTTAGTAGAGATGCACATCACAGATTTATGGATACTTAATCTGAGGGTGAATCTCTAGGTATATATAGTTGTAATAGCTTCCTACCTTATCAAGAGTAGGAAGAGTATAAAAAGTATGTTCATAAGTTAGTACCTTTAATCCTGAGGCCTTCTTGGAGAAACTATTTTGAGAATTAAGTTTCTGAAAATAAAGAGTTTGTTTTTTTGGCTGGTAGATGGAGAAGTATAACGAGTTAGTCTAGATAAATGGTGTGTTAACAACAATGTATTTATTGTATTTGCAAGTATAGGTATGTCTTGGAGATATTATGGGTTTGGTTCCAGACCACCCCAATAAAGAGAATATCATGGTAAAGCAAGTCTCATGAACTTTTTTGGTTTCTCATTGTTTACACTATATTGTAGTCTATACAGTATAGCATTATGTCTTTTTAAAGATACTCTACATCCTAGGGACTTCACAGTGGTAAGACTCCATGTTTCCAATGCAGGGGATGAGGGTTGGACCCCTGGTCAGGGAACTAAGATCCCACATACCCCATGATGTGGCAAAAAAAGAAAAAAAGAAAAAAAAAAAAAAGACAATGTACATACCTTAAGAATACAAAAAACAAACCCGTTATAATAGTAATGTAAAAAAATCACTGATTACAAGTCACTATAATAATTTAAAATTTTTCAATATTGCAAGAATTAGCAAAATGTGACACAGAGACATCAAGTGAGCAAATGCTGTTGCAAAATGGCACCAGTAGACCTACTCAATGCAGGGTTGCCACAAACATTCAGTTCTTAAAACAACAAAATATTTGTGAAATGCAGTGAACTGAAGCACAGTAAAAAAAAAAAAGTTTGCATGTGACTGTTATCTTCAAATGGTTATTAAGTCTTGATTGCTCCTAGTTCCCCAAAGGAGGAGGACTATATAAGTATAGGTCAGTGGAAGAGAGTCAAATGTTAAGTTATTGTTTGTCTCTGCAATGGGAAGTGGGAGAGAAGAAAAGAACCAGCACTTTTCAAGTATCTTCTGTGCACATATTGCTACTTAAAACTCAAAATAGTGTTTTTAAGGTAGGTATCACTCAATATCCTTGTTTTATAGAGGAAGAAACCAGAGCTCAAAGAGGTAAAGTGACTGAAAGTTACAAAATGGGAGTTAGGCGCTGAATCCTGATTACTTTGACCTCAAAGTCTTGTGCTCTTTCCACTACACTCTTGAACAGCGCATGTGCTGACCTTCTATGCAAATACCCAAGTATAAGTTTCTTGTTGGATTTCTGTATCTGAGATTCTGCATCTGCAGATTCAACCAACTGTGTATTACTGTAGTACATAAGTACTGAAAAGCCCACTTTTAAGAGGACTTGTGCAGTTCAAACCCATTTTGCTCAAGGGTCAGCTGTATTTGATTCTGAACATTGTGAAACATTTGCTTGCTGTCCCTTAATGAGCGACACTGATGTTGCATTGAAGGTTAGTATCAAGATACAGAAACAAAGTCACTGATTATATTTTTGTCATTGATATTTCATTTTCCTGTAACACTATTCCTCATAGGCTCTGACTATGATGAGTTTTAAAGCTCATGCTGTATCAGATGATAGATACTAAACCTACCTGTCTTTAAGGGCAGTGTAAAACAGCCTGGCACAGTGTTGTCGGCTGATGAATGTTTAGGGAATTTAACTGGGTATTACAGTTGGGAGATGCCTGTCTAGCCCTGTTAGGCATGTGGACCTCTTAACCTCTAAGGCTTATCATGGGCCAAAGTAATTATTTACACATTCCCCAGAATACTTTGTTTCAATACACAATATTTATTAAGACGACTTAGGTACATAAAGTAAACCACTTATATACACACCATTCTCAGTGAACTGTAAGAAAAAAAAATAACACAAAGAACAAAATTGTTTTCAAACAAGTTTTTATGTTTTATATCCATCATATGTTCGTTTGCATGTTAGGAAGTTATTAGCACTGACATATAAACTTAGATGTAACTTTTTGATGAAGTTCACAAAAATTTGCATTGAAGTCTGAATGTAAATTACAGACTCTTAACAAGCATTTGAGAATAGAAATGTGATTGAAGATTTGCATTCCCAGATGTTTCAAGAAATCAAATGCTTTTCACTACCACGTGATAAGGATCTGTGTTCAAATGAAAATTATTGGGGCACATTAATTCTTGAAGGGTATTATAATTTTCAGTTAATATAAGAAAGTAATAAACCTTTATATAGGGTGTCAACCATGAAGAATTTAGGCTTTCCTAAGACTATGATTTCCACATGCCTGAAAAGAAAATCCTATGAAGTCTATATATTTTGATAATTAGTTGCAGAAGTCTGTAAAAAATGATTTAAGAATAACTGTAATGACAACTACCACGTATTGAAACCTTACTCTGTGCTAGGCACCAAGCTATGTACTTTGTATACATTATCCCATTTAATGTATATTATAACTCAACTGTATAAATAGTATTAGCTCTGTTTATAAACAAGAAAACTGAGGCTTAAGCAGTTAGCCACGTTCAACAAACAGCTTGTAAATGGTGTAACCAAGAGTTTAAAGCAAGTCTGACTGTGGTTCCAAAGCCAGAGTACCCAATCACTATATTGTATGACATCAGTGAAAGACCCCTCACCTGCTATCATGAGGGTGAATGGTTAAGAACTTTACCTATGATACAATCACAGAAGTATAATTTGCATTGTTAGACTAAGAAGCAAGATTGATTCAAGTGGAACACAAAAAACCTTGCTCATTTAAATAATTTTTATTTACACGTCTTTTTCCATCATCATTATTCTAATAAGATTATAAATACATAAACACCTGAGTACATGCAACACATTCCACAAAGGGGAAAAAAGGTACAGTACAACTGAAAAAAGAACCAAAACTATTGTATACAAAGTACTTTAAAAAAAGACCTTGTAACACATTCAGACCATATTTATTTGAACATTTTCCAATAATTACCAAGGGATGTATCGTTTATAAGTAATATTCAGAATCTATTTTCTTCTATAAGCCAGGTTTAGCACTTCAGTTAATCAAGTGAATAGCTGTTCCATTATGCAATATTAAAGGCAAGTCACATAGCATCAAAATGAAATCGATGAGCTTCTTGTCGTTTTTCTCTATCATCTGCTTTCTGAAAAAGAATTTTAGACTGGTTTATAAATGATAAAATGTCAAACAAAGACTTTCTGAAATATGAAGTGGTTAATTTAAAAAGCCCTCAACAATTAGTAGGTGTGATTTTATTATGCAATAATCTTATGAAATATTTTTATAGTTTACAGTAGCTATTCTATAATTAATGATCTCTTAAACTGAATTTAAAAAACTAACAAGAAATGTTCCTTAAAAGCTTAGTTTGTTATATATTATTTGAAAGTAGGAGTAAACATTAGATTTTGTAAGAATGGAATCAACTCTTACATTTTTCCTGTTCTTAATACTGCTGAATCTAATTATATTAAAGTGCATTAATTATTTTGGGGTTAACCTATTGATTTTGTATTGGGATATTGGTTCCTTGAATAGGGATGGAACCTGTGCCCCTGCAGTGGAAGATTGGATTCTTAACTACCCAACCACTAGGTTAAGTCCCATGTGCTTGGAATTTTGAGGGGTTAGAAAACTCCTCAGTTTTGTATCTTGCTCTCATGGAACTTACTAAAGCCTAGAATGAAAAACATACTGAAAACATACTAAATAACTCTATTTCAGGATAAAATGTTGCCAAAATTCTGAGAGATTACTTTTGGTTGGCCTGATGAAAGGGAAAGCTTTGAAAGACAGCATTTATGGAAATTAAGAGGGACATTCACTATAAGATGGGGGAAGAGCAGGAACAATCCTGGGAAGTCTGGCAGGAGCATGGGAAATATGGAAGCAACTGGTAAGAGAAAGGTTGGAAAAGTATGTGGTGGAGTCAGTAGGAAGACTACCATGAAGGCTAGGCTAATGGGGTTACACATTTTAGGCAGGGGGTAGGCACCAAAGTTTTTGAGCAGAGTAGTGCCGTGATTAAAAGATGAGTAATCTGGCAGCAATGTGATAAATGGAGTGGAGGGAGAGAATGGAATTTGGGAGGACAGGGAGGATATAGCAAGGAGTTGAACTAAATTAAAGTACTGATGTAAGGAATTCAGAAGTGGAGTCAGCTTCAGAGATTGTATGAAGGCACATACAGGAGGGCAACTGGTAAATCCTGTAATGAGTAAGAAAGAAACTAGTTTTAAGTTGCTTGTAATTGATCTGGGTAGAAGTATCATGGCAACGGGGAGCTTTAGAGAGGGATGAAGGCTGGGAAAGATTGACGGCAGGAGGAGAAGGGGACGACAGAGGATGAGATGGTTGGATGGCATCACCGACTCAATGGACATGGGTTTGGGTCGACTCCGGGAGTTGGTGATAGACAGGGAGGCCTGGCGTGCTGCGGTTCATGGGGTTGCATAGAGTCAGGCACGACTGAGCGACTGAACTGAACTGAACTGAAAGTGGCAGGGGAATGTGTATAAACAAGAGGGCATACAGCAGACACTGTGGCAGAAAGAACAGCCAATAGGTGAAAGAGAAGTGGTCCAAGTGGGCGGGGGTGGGGTGGGGAGAACCACAGTACCACAGAAGAGGCAGTTTACAAATATGTATTTTGATCCATCCTTATATGTAAAACTTCAGTTTTAGCCACTGTATCATCATTGTGAGTCTGCTTATACTGTAGTCAGACCTACTGTAAAATTAATAAAATTACTTTCTTTTCCTTCATAGGTCTAGAGCTATATAATATTTCATTCTATAGATCAATAGAACAGAATAGAAAGCCCAGAGATAAATCCACGAACCTGTGGATACCTTATCTTCGACAAAGGAGGCAAGGATATACAATGGAAAAAGACAACCTCTTTAACAAGTGGTGCTGGGAAAACTGGTCAACCATTCGTAAAAGAATGAAACTAGAGCACTTTCTAACACCATACACAAAAATAAACTCAAAATGGATTAAAGATATAAATGTAAGACCAGAAACTATAAAACTCCTAGAGGAGAACATAAGCAAAACACTCTCCAACATAAATCACAGCAGGATCCTCTATGACCCACCTCCCAGAATATTGGAAATAAAAGCAAAAATAAACAAATGGGACCTAATGAAACTTAAAAGCTTTTGCACAACAAAGGAAACTGTAAGTAAGGTGAAAAGACAGCCCTCAGATTGGGAGAAAATAATAGCAAATGAAGCAACAGACAAAGGATTAATCTCAAAAATATACAAGCAACTCCTGCAGCTCAATTCCAGAAAAATAAATGACCCAATCAAAAAATGGGCCAAAGAGCTAAGCAGACATTTCTCCAAAGAAGACATACAGATGGCTAACAAACACATGAAAAGATGCTCAACATCACTCATTATCAGAGAATTGCAAATCAAAACCACAATGAGGTACCATTACACGCCAGTCAGGATGGCTGCTATCCAAAAGTCTACAAGCAATAAATGCTGGAGAGGGTGTGGAGAAAAGGGAACCTTCTTATGCTGTTGGTGGGAATGCAAACTAGTACAGCCACTATGGAGAACAGTGTGGAGATTTCTTAAAAAACTGGAAATAGAACTGCCATATGACCCAGCAATACCACTTCTGGGCATACACACTGAGGAAACCAGATCTGAAAGAGACACGTGCACCCCAGTGTTCATTGCAGCACTGTTTATAATAGCCAGGACATGGAAGCAACCTAGATGCCCATCAGCAGATGAATGGATAAGGAAGCTGTGGTACATATACACCATGGAATATTACTCAGCCGTTAAAAAGAATTCATTTGAATCAGTTCTAATGAGATGGATGAAACTGGAGCCCATTATACAGAATGACGTAAGCCAGAAAGATAAAGAACATTACGTCATACTAACACATGTATATGGAATTTAGAAAGATGGTAATGATAACCCTATATGCAAAACAGAAAAAGAGACACAGATGTACAGAACAGAATTTTGGACTCTGTGGGAGAAGGCGAGGGTGGGATGTTTCAAGAGAACAGCATGTATATTATCTATAGTGAAACAGATCACCAGCCCAGGTGGGATGCATGAGGCAAGTGCTCGGGCCTGGTGCACTGGGAAGACCCAGAGGAATCGGTTGGAGAGGGAGGTGGGAGGTGGGATCGGGATGGGGAATACATGTAACTCCATGGCTGATTCATGTCAATGTATGACAAAACCCACTGCAATGCTGTGAAGTAATTAGCCTCCAACTAATAAAAATAAATGGAAAAAAAAATTTCATACTATGTTCTGAAACTTCAGATGAAAGTAAATAGGGTCACCTCTATCTTAACTCTTCTTTTTTAAATTTTTAATTGGAGGATAATTGCTTTACAGTGTTGTGTTGGTTTCTGCCATGATCTTCTTAAGTTGAAATTTTAAAATCAACTGACTGTGTAACTTTGTTACCATTTTTTATATGGAAGGAGTGATTTTTTTGACAGACAAACGTATGAACATTTATTAGAACAATAATATATTCTCTTTCATAGTTAAAACTGGTAACAAAAAACAGATAGTAATTTTAATGATCATTGTAAGTATCACAATCTAAAGGGAATAGGCGCAAAAAAGGAAGACATTTTTGTGACAAAGAAGCCCTTTTTGGAGAACATTTTTGGAACCTCCTAGCTGTGTAATGAATATATATTCATATACAAATAGAAATTAGCTTTTTTCCTTTATACTAATAAATTTATGTGAAAGCCTTTTGTTTCTCCTCATTAATATTATATAAAATATACTTTTGGAGTTTTGTTTTTAATTATTATTTATGGTGTTATACTATAGAACAGAAATCAGTCTTGTTTAATGCAAAGAATACCTGCTATTAATAGATGGAAAGGATGTTTATCACTTTGATACTTCCCACCTTAACTCTCTCTGCTCTAATTTTTTATAGAGATAGCTATTATTCCCAGGAAAAAAAGTCCATGGCTTTATTATTAATAGTAAATAGTGAACACAGGGTCATTTAAGAAATGATTATTATTTTTAAGGCCATTATGAAATTACTTCTAATTAAGCTTTTTGATATACCTGTTGATTTGAGGGTATTCACTTTATTACTTTTGTGTAGTATCAAAATTAAAATACATAGTTTCTTTGATTTGTAGGAATCAGTGAGACATTAGTAACTTAAGGAGATGAAAGAAATTATCATCAATAAGATGATATATGAACAGAACTTGAAAAATCAGAAAATCTTAAGTCATGTGAAAAAGTTGAAGATATAGTTTTTTAATTTAAAAAATGTTAAAAAAGCAACATATTACTATTATAAATTAATCAAAGTTTCATTTAAGTGAACAAACCTTTTCCTGCCAATGCAAAATGCCGATTATTGCCAAGATGAAAACACAGACACCAATGAGAGCTATAGCAGTAAGTAGAACGATGTTACTTGGTGTAAGATACAGTTTGGCACTCCAGCTGTAGATGAAAAGAGAAGAATTGAAATTACACATTTTAACTTAAAAATAACAAAATTCTATTGTGACCAAAAAGCAAAAGTTCTTATTAATTAATAATCAGTTCAGTCATTCATTAATTCTTCCACCTATATCCAATTCATTACAAGTAAAACAAAAGCAATTAAAATTTTATAGGGTTAAGAATATTGACAAACCAGCAGAGTTCAGATTTTACTTTGAGAAATGAAACAGAAAAGAATTTTTGATTGAGATGCTTTGATACTTTTCCTTGCTCCTATGAGGATTATTCTTGAGCAAACTCCAGAAGATAGTGAAGGACAGGGAAGCCTGGCGTGCTGCATACAGTTCATGGAGTTGCAGAGTCGGACACGATTCAGTGACTGAACAACCACCACCACCACTACGACAAACTTATTCAGGGCACTTGGGGCAATTTTAGACATCCTTTTTACGTCTTGACTTGCTGAATCTGAAACCCTGAACTTTAAGGCTAAACTGTCACATGAATTTGATAAGATTTCTATATCTTACTTTTTGACCCCTGCTCACATGTTTATTATGACTAAGGAAAATAACCACAAGTCCAAGCAGGTATAGAGAGGGACTTGGGCCAAGTGTCATGCTGGAAGGTTTACAACATTACAATGGCACTGTGAGACTTCCTACAAAATGACTTTAGTCCCTCAATGGCAATATACAAACAGCATAAATAATATAACTAGCTCTTTCTTCTAAAACAGACCACATAAAACCCTCAAAATCTTTGAAAACCGTGAAAAACCTAAAACTGAAGTCCATATCACCAACACTGCAGGTGGTTATATGTAAAGAACTTTTTGTTTTCTCTGAAAATAGATAATGGATATATTTTCATTTTAAATTTTAATAAAGGTAAGAATTATTCTGATAAATTGCAAGCAGTGATTGACTTATTTGGGGATAATTAAAATTTACTGATCCGTAAGTTAGCTTCTAGTCAATAAATCTCTAAGTATACCTCAAACTAAAATCAATTTAGTTTTTATTATGTACATAAATTTGAAAAGAACATTTGTTTTTCAGAAAGAGCAAGAGAAACATGAGAAATGTTGAGCTTATGGAAGAAAGGCTTTAACAGAATTCCCCAGAAACTCAGAGGAAGAAAACCTTAAATACTGTTAATTAGTTGAGGTTGGCTATTCTCAGTGCCTTACTTCATACTTAAGAAAAAGTCCTTTCATGAGATTTTTTGGGTGGTTCTAAGTTAAAATTAGATTAAAAATGAATAAAGGAATTTTGGTAATAAAAAATACTAAACAAAAGGCCAATACTCAGTTTCTTACTCAGAAGCAGTCATGCTTCTCAGTTTCTTATATATCTATATATATATATAAATGTATTTGCATAGATATCTTCTAAAATCACAAATCATTGCTTATTATACATATTTTAAGTGCATTTTCTGTTTACTGTCTTTAACCTTACCACTCTTTTTAAGAGACTGTTCTATGTCATGATATTATGATATAGAATTACTATAATTCATATAGTTTTGTGAAATTCATTTTGTTATAAATTTCAAAATTTTAATAGACTCATTAAAAAGGTCTGAACTCAGACCATAACTGGTGTTATTGATGTTATCTTATTTCAAACATAATGCTGTAACACAGTTGTTTTCTTAAGTAGTTTGGTTCTACTCCTGGGTATTTATCCAAAGAAAATGAAAACATTAATTAGAAAAAATACATGCAACCCTATGTTCACTGTGGCATTATATATAATAGTCAGGATAGTGAAAACAACCTAAGTATCCATCAGTAGATGAAGGGATAAAGAAGAATGTGAGTCCTCACTCTCTTTCCACATACACACATTTATACATATACACATACACACAATGGAATATTTCTTAGCCATAAAATAGAATGAAATCTTGCCATTTGTGACAACACGGATAGACCTAGAGGGTATTATGCTAAGTGAAAAAAGAGAAAGACAAATACTGTATGATTTCATTTATATGGAATTTAAAAAATAAAGACAAATGAACAAACATAACAAAACAGAGTTACGGAGAATAATAAGTGTTTGCCAGAGGGGAGAGGAAGGGAAGAGGGAAGGAGAGAAATGAGTGAGGTTGATTGAGAAGTACAAACTTCCAGTTGCAATGTAAATGAATCATGGATATGAAATGTACAATGTGGGGAATATAGTCAATGATTATGCAATGTCTTTGATGACAAACTGTAATCAGACTTGACTGTGGTGATCATTTAGAAATGTACAGAAACATCGAATCACTGTCTTGTGTATTCTGTATTTTGAGTGTGGAAGAACTGATGCTTTCAAACTGTGGTGCTGCAGAAGCTTCTTGAGGATCCCTTGGACAGCAAGGAGATCAAACCAGTCAATCCTAAGGGAAGTGAACCCTGAACATTCATTGGAAGGATTGATGCTGAAGCTGAAGGTTCAGTACTTTGGCCACCTGATATGAAGAGCCGATTCACTGGAAAAGACTGATGCTGGGAAAGATTGAGGGCAGGAGGAGAAGAGGGAGACAGAGGATGAGATGGTTGCACGGCATCACTGACTCAATGGACATGAGTCTGAGCAAACTCTGGGAGATGGTAAAAGACAGGGAAGCCTGGCATGCTTCAGTCCATGGGGTCACAAAGAGTCGGACATGACTTAGTGACTAAATAACAATAACATACTGTGTAACCGGAACTAACATAGTGTTGTAGGTCAGTTATATTATTTTTAAAAAAATCATAGAAAAAGCTCAGATTTGTGGTTACCAGGGATGGGAGGTGTAAGGGGAGGGAATTGGATGAAGGCAGTTAAAAATTACAAACTTCCAGTTATAAATAAATACTATGAATGTAATGTACAACATAATAAATAGAATTAACTCTGCCACATGTTATATATGAAATTTGTTAAAAGAGTAAATCCTAAGAGTTCTTATCACAAGAAAAATATTTTTTCTATTTCTGTAACTTTGTACCTATATGAGATAATGGATGTTCACTAAACTTATTGTGATAATCATTTCATGATGTAACTAAGTCAAATCATGATGCTGTATACCTTAAACTTACATAGTGCTGTATGTCAATTGTATCTCAATAAAACTGGAAGAAGAAAACAGTGTAGCCTGTATTTTGAGAAGAAATATAATAAGCCACTAGTTACAAATTCATAGGTTATTTTTTCATATTGACATCAGAATAGCCTTAAGAACAAGTTATATTTTTCCCAATGAAATGTAAATGTTAATGAATACCTTCATCACCTACTTTTTGAAATAATGGAATCAACCTAATAATTTAAAGAAAAATGAACAGATAAAGATTTAGAATTAAATGCTACATTATAAAAGGAATGTGTTTTGCTAGTAAGGTTAAAAATACTTATCATTCACTGAAAACAGTATCTGCTGGGTACTGTGTTAAGCACAGTGGCTCAGCTGGTAAAGAATCTGCCTGCAATGGACCTGGGTTCGATCCCTGGGTTGGAAACATTCCCTGGAGAAGGAAAGGCTACCCACTCCAGTATCCTGGACTGGAGAATTCCATGGATTGTACAGTTCTTCAGAGACAGGAAGGAAGGACTAGCTTCCTGTTTTAGTCAGCTAGCAGTGGATTTGAGTTTCTTGCCTGAGTGCGTTGAACTTCAAAATTTCTGCCTAACCACTGTGGGACACAAACCACTTCTCAAAAGCATTTGCTAAAAAGATCATTGCTTGTGAAGTTCAGCAGCCTGAAATTTTAGAATTTATGGCCAGTAAACTGAGTTCAGTTCAGTCACTCAGTCATGTGTGACTCTTTGCGACCCCACGGACTGCAGCACGCCAGGCCTCCCTGTCCATCACCAACTCCCAGAGTTTACTCAAACTCATGCCCATCGAGTCGGTGATGCCATCCAACCATCTCATCCTCTGTCGTCCCCTTCTCCCGCCTTCAATCTTTCCCAGCATCAAAGTCTTTTCAAATGAGTCAGCTCTTTGCATCAGACCAGCTTATTTAATAACTGAAGACCAGCTTATTTAATCAGAACATGTATAAATCCCTAGTTAACCTGCTGTTTTTCTAATCAGGTTTAATTTGTTCTTTGTGGAAAATGTCAGGTATCTTATGTGTAGGTATGTTTAGCCATTTAAAGTCTGCTGTAAGCAAACTAAGTGATGACACTCATAGGAACACAACAGAAATAGAGCTTTAAAAAGATGTATCTATGATTCAGAGTTGACAGTATTTTTACCAAATTCAATTCAAGCAAGGGCATTACCTTCGAGGAACATTGGGAGGATATGGAATGACAATTAGCTGAGAATTTGGAATGATTGCAGTCCATTCTTGTTTTCGTACAGACTAGAAAAAGAACATTTAAGAACATTTAACATTCAGTACACTTTAAAAACATGATTATTCTAAATAAGGAAAAAGCTTAAGCATTTTTTGATAAATTGAAATTCTATATATGGATTAAGCTAAATTTATATATGTAAGGTTCCAAATAGGGTTCCTATTTACAAAAATTTCTTCATCTTTTCAGGGAAGGATTATATTTCTGTCTTATGGATACATTAATTCAACAAGTATTTTTTGAACACTTAGTAGCAGGCACTGTTCAAAGTGTTAAGTACAAATGCTGCTTTGGAACTAAAATTCAAGTTAAGGTGGAGTCTGACAGTAATCAAAAATATTTGGTATGTCAGATGGTGAAAATGATGAGAAAAAGCAGGGAAGAAGAGGGGTAGGAAGACTTAAGGTATATTTTCAAATTATAATGTCCTGTATGTAAGATAAGCTTAGATCGGTCACTACCAGTGAACTTTTAAAATTCTTTAACGGAAATGAAAATATTTAAATTCAAATATTTGAATAGTAAATATTAAAAAACAGATTACTTGTAAATTTTTACTCACCTTCTCTCCAGATGGACGTGGAATACCAACATAAAGATGATCAAGAAAATTGGCACTTCGACCTAAGCCAAGTACATTATATGGCAGTTGGAGAGCTAAATGCGCCGACTGGCTAAGTTGTCCAGCTAAATTTATTTTTAAAAAAGAAAAAAGAACAATACATCTTTGGAGACACTGTTCTTATCAAATATGAAAATTATAAAATGTTAAAAATTTAGGTTTCTATAACCTATCTTTAAGGATAAAAATGTGAAATGCCTGTTATTCATAATATTAATAATTCACTTTTTAAAGATAACAGCTTTATTGAGAAATAATTCACACTTCATAAACATCACCCATTTAAAGTATAAGTTGAGTGATTCTGAGTATCTTCAATCAAATTTTATAACATTTTCATCACCCAAAAAAGAAACGTCATACCCATTAGCAGTTAATTCTATTTCTAACCCTTGCTCTTCCAGATGCAGGTAACCATTAATCTACTTTTTTAATATCAATAGATTTGCCTATCCTGGAGATTCATATAAATGCAATCATGTAATGTGTGCTCTTGATGAATGATGCTGCTGCGAACATTCACATACAAGCTTTTGTGTCAACTTGTTTTCCAAAATGGCTGTATCATTCCACAGTTCCAAGAATAATATATGAAGGTTCCAATTTTTCAATATTCTTATCAACACTTTATCTTTCTGATCACAGCCATTCTAGTGGTTATGAAGTGGTATATCATTGTGGCTTTCATTTGCATTTACCTAATAACTAATGTTGTTTTCTTTTCACATGCTTATTGGCCATTTTTGTAGCTTCCTTTTTAGGTCTCAAAGTTTTTAGTTGTCTCTTCTTTCATTCTTGACTTTAGTAATTTGAGTCTTTTTCTTGAACAGTCTAGCTAAAGGTATGTCTATTTTGTTACTCTTTGAAAAACCCAACTTTTGGTTCAACTGGGTTTTCTCTTGATTCTCAATCCCCTACATATTTTCTCTCATTATATCCTGTCTTCTGTTTCCTTTGGGCTTAATTTGCTGTTCTTTTTATAGTTTCTTGAAATAGATGGTTAGGTTATTGATTTCAGACTGTTCTAGGTATTTATAACAAATTTTCCTCTAAGAACTGCTTTTGCTGCATCCTATTTATTTTGATATGTTGTGTTTTTTTTTTTTTTCATTCACCTATTTTCTAGTATCTATTGTGATTTCTTCTTTGGCACACTGGGTTTTTAGGAGTGTGTTGTTTCATTTCCAGATATATTTTTTAAATGGGTTATTTAATGGGTCTTCACTGTGCATGGGCTTTCTCTAGTTTCAGTGAGAGGGGGCAAGTCTGCAACTAGAGAAACTCAACTCTCTTTTGGTTACTCTTTGCATGGTACAATTTATCCCATTTTTTAAAACTTTCAACTTATTTATATCTTTAAATCTAAAGTGTTTCTCTTGCAGGTAGCACCTAATTGAGTTATATTTTAATATCCATTCTGCCGATCTCTGCCTTTTGATAGGAGTATTTATTCCATTTACATTCAATGTAATTACTGATAAGGTAGGACTTTTGCTTGCTATTTGCCACTGGCTTTCTGTATGTTTTTTTAATTTTTCTATTTCTCCATTGCTGCTTTCTTTTGTTTTCTGTTACAGCATTTTAATTCTGTAGTTTCTTTTATTATATATTTTCTGAGTGGTTTTCTTAGTGGTTACCCTGGGGACTGCAACTAGCATATTAACTTAACAAAACAACTTAATACCTAGCACATAACAACAACTTTGCTCCAAAGTTCCCACCCTTTTGTGTTATTATTATACAAATTATGTTTTTATATATTCAGCCCATCAACACAAATCTATAATTACTTTATGCAGTTGTTTTGTAAATCACCTAGGAAATAAGAGGAACTATTTAACACAAATACATAAACCATATTTTATACTTCTCTGTAGTCTTACCAGGTGCTTTTTACTTATTTGTGTGGATTCAAGTTACTGTCTAGTTGTCCTCTCAGTCAGGCTTAAAGGCTCCTTTAGTATTTTAGAAGAGTGGCCTGTTAATGATGAATTCTATTTTTATCTAGGTGTATCTAAAATTCTTCACTTTTGAAGGATAGCTTTGGCACATATATGGGGTTGGTCAAAAAGTTCATTTGGGTTTCTCTGCTTTTATGGAAAAACCCAAATGAACTTTTTGGTCAATCCAATAGAATTCTTGATTGACAGGTTTTTTTTTTTTCCTTTCAGCACTTGGAATGTATCATCCCCTTCTGCCTGCTGTGGTTTCTGATGAGAAGTCAGCTGTTAATCTTGTTGAGGCTCCCTTACATGTAACTAACTGCATCCTCCTTGCTGCTATGAAGTCTCTTTTTGTCTCTATTTTTGATAGTTTATGTGTCTCAGTGCTGACTCTTTGAGTTAGAGTTTGTTGAGTTTCTCATATGTGCAGATTAGTGTTTTTCATCATATTTGGATGGTTTTAGCCATTACTTCTTCAGATATTTATTCTGCCCCTTTCTCTATTTTGGGCTTCCCTGGTGCCTCAGATGGTAAAGAATCTGCCTGCAATGCAGGAGATCTGTGTTTGATCCCTGGGGAGGGAAGATTCTCTGGAGAAGGGCATGGCAACCCACTCCAGTATTCTTGCCTGGGAAATCCCATGGACAGAGGAGCCTGGTGGGCTACAGCTTATGGGGTTGCAAAGAGTTGGACACATCTGAGTGACTATCATTTTCACTTTTCTCTCTTTTTCTTTTAAGACTTGCTTTATGCATACATTGGTATGTTTGATGGTGGTTTCACAGGTTCTGAGATTTTTTTTTCTCTTTTTTTCTTTCTATAAACTTGCAATTGACCTATATTCAGGTTTGCTAAAAAGATGTTTGCTTCTTGGAAGGAAAGCTATGACAAATCTAACTAGTGTATTAAAAAGCAGAGACATCACTTTGCATATAGTGATGCATATAGACAAAGGTGCATATAGTCAAAGCTATGATTTTTCTAGTAGTCTTGTACAGATATGAGAATTGGACCATAAATAAGGCTGAATGCTGAAGAATTGATGCTTTTGAATTGTGGTGCTGGAGAAGACTCTTGAGAGTTGTTGGACTGCAGGAGATGAAACCAGTGAACTGAATATTCACTGGAAGGACTGTTGCTGAAGCTCAAGTTCCAATACTTTGGTCACTTGATGCAAAGAGCTGATTCATTGGAAAAGACCCTGATGCTGGGAAAGATTGAGGGCAGGAGGAGAAGGGGGTGACAAAGGATAAGATGGTTGGATGGCATCACCAACTCAATGGACTTGAGTTTGAGCAAACTCTGGGAGATAGTGAAGGATAGGTAAGCCTGGTGTGTTGCAGTTCATGAGGTCACAAACAGTTGGACACAACTTAGCGACTGAACAACAATTCATTTTCCAGCTCAAATCTGTTGATGAGCACTCTACAGAAATTTTTGATTCAGTTATTATACTTTTTAACTCTAGAGTTTCTATCTGATTTTTTAAAATGATCTTTACTTCTTACTTGTATCTTCTTTTAGTGAGACACAGTTGTCATGCTTACTTTAGGTTTTTTAATCCTAGTTTCCTTTAGGTCTTTGAACATGTTTTTAATAGCCAATTTATAGGTTCTGTTAACTAAGTCTAACATTACTGTGCACATTTTCTGTTGTCTGCATTTTTTTTTTAATGTGTATGTGTTTCTACAAGATAGCCTTTGTTTTCATTTCTTGCTTGAGCAGTGCCTCAAGGTAGCATAATCAAGCTATGTATTTTAATGAGGTAGTTTCCCTTCTAGGTATGTTCTTAGATGTCCAAGAAGATGTTCCAGCATTTCCAAGTTGCCTATGGTTGTTGAGTGCCTTGGGACTTCCTTTTATGTTTTGGCCAGGCTTTTGTTCACTACACCTGGGATTCTGCCAGCACACTGTTGTTTTTGGTAATGTCTTGGAGGGATTGGGCTTTTTATTTCCCCTGCTAGGTTGAACTCTGAGTCAAATCAGATAGCCCCAACACTCTGAGAGTGGAGATTTCCTAAGGAGTTGCTAGTTTAGACAAATATTGACAGTGTTATAGGGATAAGAATTTTAATGGGGCTCCAAAGGTCAGTCTTGTCCACTGACTGTGAGGCTCCTAGCTGTTTATGGCTGCTGCACCATTTAGTAGACAGGGGAGGTGGGATGGAAACAGTCCCAAGCTGAAATGCCCCAGACCCAGGTGTCTTAAGTATCAGGAGTTCCTCCCGGAGAGACAATGCTTGGAACGTTCTGTGGCTTTGGTTAATTTCCAGAGTTCTAAAATAGTTAGTATTAGTTATTTAGCCAGCATTTTTTGTTTGTTTGCTTATTGGTGGGGGCAGGGGACAGCAGGTTCATGAAGTCCTTACACTGGCATTCCAAAAATCAATCTCTCCTACTATAGCTCACTTTTAAAGACTGCTATTTACTTGCTAGGTATTTTCAACATAATTAAACAAACTATTTAAATGACAGGGTTACTTAATATCTAAATACTATAATATGCCATGGACTCTGCTAAACATCAACTAATGTTACCCATAAATATGAAATCATTGGAAAGTATATATACCTAATTTTTTATATAATTCTTATGTTAGTAAGAGAAAGGTATAATGAAAAGGAACAATGAATTTAGGGATAACTTAATAAAGTTTATGTATGTAAAACTATAAAGCAATATAGTTAATTGCAAGGGGTATGGAATTACTTTGCCTTGTAGACTTGGCTGATTGAATGATAATGCTTAAAGAGTGCCTCAAATATAGCAAACACTGTTAAAGTAAATGTTAAATATATACATGTTTCATTATACTCAGCACAGACTGACTTAATAGACATCAAACTAGACTTATAAACAATTTCTCTATAACTACCTTACTGAAAAGAACCAAATAAAAACATTTACCAATACTCTGTTAGGAAGATCATAGAACATAAATTCCAAATAAAACTGTATATTTCATAAGAAAACTTAAAAATTATTAAAAAGAATAATGAAAATAAATTATCAAAAAAATCTCAAAATGAAGACATAGTTATATTTTAGCATACTTTAAAAAAATTTTAGCATACTTTTAATCATGTAATTTTCTGCCTAGGCATGTGCATGAACAAGTAAA